ATATATATATATTATGTGTATTAATAGATTATAAATTACAGATAATATATGATATATGATATATGAAATATGATATGATTCAATGGTAGGGTTAAAAAATTTCCGTTGATGAAGTTAGCGGTAGCGGGGAAGTGAATAAAGTGAGGTATAGTTTCATAACCGTTCGAGTTGTGCTTCTGCGTGTGCTTGTGCTTCTACTTCTACTTCCACTTTTAGGGTTTTCCAGTCTTCTAGCCTCTGCGTGTCCATGCACAATCTTTCTCCATTGGAACTCGCGCTGTTGTGTGTGTAGGGTTTGGGTTTGACAATGGATAATTATTACCTTTCTCAACACTCCCAATTCGAATCTGAGACTGACGCCTACAATGCTGATGTCAATGGCGATCACGCTAAGCCTTCTTTCAATCGTCGCGATTCCTCTTCAGGGTTACTTCCTCTTCTACCACTCTTTCTGCGTCCAATTACATTATTTTTATCTATTAATTCTCAATTCCTTATTTTTTTCTTCAGAAAACTCTTCGTTGGAGGCATTTCTTGGGAGACTTCTCAAGGTATTCTCTCTTCTCTCATGAATTTAGTCTTTTCTTCATGGACTCGAGAGTTTGTTCTGGTGCATGTTTTTTTTCCACTGTATGCTTGTTCTTCAATTACTCACAATTTTCTATTCCATGCTCGCTTAAGATCTTAACTAGGTGCGAATCTAATGAAATATTTAATGCATAGTTATTAATTTTGGACAGTGGCCTACCATAGTTGTTAGAATCAGACGATTTGATGTGATTTGGTGAGCTTTTCATATCATATGATGAATCTTATAATATTGAATCTTATGACACATGAATGAATTGGTGTAATTTTGTATCATCCATACGAAGCATGCGATTCAACTATTCTCTCTCTCTATATATATATATTGCTTTCCTTTCACTAATTATCATGAAAAAGATTGAGAAGTCATACAAGCAAAGTGTTAAATGAAAAGGAATTGGAGGACTATTTTTGAACTTGTTCTATTTGATTATTTGTCACTCATCATTCAATGCACGCTCTTTATATGGCTATTACATTGCTTTGTTTCCATTCTTCCAAAACAGAGGCTTTGCAAAATCAGATATAACTAATAAAATAATTGTCACATGAGACTTATGATTAAGTTGTTTTTATCTATTTTCTTAGCTTATAATTATTACATTGAACACTATAGTATATATCATTTATATGATATATTTGTAGTTTTATTCATTGTTCATGAATCTTACATTTCAATACAAATTATGATTCATGAGTGAAATGTCAACTCCCCCATCCCCGAGAATAGCGCAGTTTTGAGGGCAAATATGATTTTTTGACATGACTTACTGTTATGCTGTCACTGTGCTGCAATTGGCCACTGTTTTCGCCACAATTGCAGCATGGATGCTATAAAAATGCACTGCTTTGCAAGTCATGTAGCGCAGCCTAAGGCCATTCCACAGCACTATGCCGCAACACTGGGGCTACAGAGCACTATTGATTTAGTGTACAATAATATTTTACTTTGCTTAAGTGTCAATGCAATATCTTCTATGCTTGATACCAATCCAGTGATTTGAAGCCATTAGTCCATTACTATTGTATTATAGCCTGTTGTGATTTTGAGCCTGTCTTATTTGTTCATGAAAATTAGTTTCTGTTCCCGATTATTTTATGGTGAATATTTCTACTACTTTAATGAGTATTTGAAATACCAGTTAAGAGTACTTACTTGAAGCTGAATATGGTCCTGGTTTCTTTTTTATGTTGGTTGTTGATACTCTCTGGTTTCGAATATAAGAAGGAAAAAAACTTGTATTTTTTGGTCTCAAATATAAGTAAATTTCAATTAATTTCACTCTATTTAAATGCTATCATCTCCAAAATATTCCTCCATTTGATTGAGATTGTATTTTCAATAATTATTTTTACTCTTAATATCAAGTTTCAAGGTAGGGTAGTCTAGGAAAATAAGTTATTTTTAAAAGGGGTTTAGTGAAATTAAATGATGTTAACCACCTTTCTTAGTTAGTGTGAATTTAGTTTTTTTTTGCTTATATTTGAAACCAAAAGGAGTATATATATATTAGTTTGTTATCTGGTGCACAATACTATTAAGGATAAGGTTGAAATGTGTATCAGACTCAGTGTTTGTGTAGTATTTTTTTCTTCATGGTTGGCTTATGCCATATATGCAAATCAAGGACTGTTTCTTTGATACAGAATACCATTTGTCATTATGTTTATTCATTCATTTTTTGTTGTTTACTTTTTTTTTTTAAATCTCTTTACCAAAGTGAAAAGATACAATTCAAAGAAAGTAGAAGACAAATCTTATGTTGCTTTATGCATGTAATTTCCTCATTTTTTTTGTCAGAGTCATTTTTTAATTACTTCAGCAAATATGGAGAAGTAACAGATTCAGTGATAATGACGAATAAACTTTCTGGAAGGCCACGTGGGTTTGGCTTTGTAACATTTGCCGATTCAGCTGTTGCAGATGAAGTTTTGGCACAAGAACATACCATTGATGGCAGAGTGGTAAGTTCTTGTTTCAAACATGTAGGTGCAAACATTGGAGCACATATTCTTGCCCCTGATGACAAATTCAATTTTTTTGTATTAGGTTGAAGTGAAGAGGACAGTCCCTAGGGAGGACATGGAAGTTATTGGAGTATTAAAAACAAAGAAGATATTTGTTGGGGGAATACCCCAGTTTTTCGCTGATGGTATAGTGAATGCACCACCCTTACTTTTTAAGGTTATATTGGAATTTGTGTATTCTGTCTTCTGACTATCATGGATTGTGTACATTGTAGATGATTTGAAGGAATACTTTTCACCTTATGGAGATGTTATTGACTGCCAAATCATGCTAGATCACAATAGTGGGCGATCTAGAGGCTTTGGATTTGTCACTTTTGACAATGAAGATTCAGTTGATAAGGTTTTTTCAGTGGGGAAAATACATGAAATTGGAGGCAAGCAGGTCAGTGAATCTGTTGAAATTAAAATAAAATATTCTTATAGCACTGCCTCAGAAGCTGATGTTATTTTTTTGTTTATTCTTTTGGATACCCTTGTCTGACAATAACTATAGGTTGAGATTAAGAGAGCTGAGCCCAAAAGATCTGCAGTTGATAACAGCAGCAACACCTCACGAAAATCATATGGTGGTTTTGGCAATGGAATGGATGGATATGGCGGGAATAGTTCTAGAAATCGCAATCATGGAAAAAGAGGTGGACAGTATTCAGATTCTGGAATGAACGGAGCATATAACCATTTTGAGGGGAGCTTTAATGGAAATGCTGCCACTGTTTATGGTGGCTATTGTGGATATGGTTATGGATTTGGATATGGTGGGCCAATGTATTGCTTTGGCGGTTATGGAGTCAATTCATATGGTAATCCTATGGGTTATGGTGGCATTGCTTCCTATGGAGATGGTAATGCATATGGAAGAACTGGTAATTTCAATCGCACTGGTGGCTATGACAGTGGCAAAGTGGCTGAGAAGGATGATGGTCCTACTTCTGGAAGGTACCATCCTTACTGGAAGTGATTTGCTATACAAAGTCAGCAGACCGTGCAATGCCTAATGGTATGGCTGCAGCAGCAGTACCACCCCTCAGGTTTGCTCCAGATATCATTCATTCAGATCGCAATTTGGAAAACAAAAAGTATGTAAGTTGTATCTGATGGATTTTGCAAAACTTGAATTTCTTTGATAAGTACATGGCGGATTTCTGGAAGCGTCATATAATGAGAGATAGACGCTGGTAATTTAGTTACCAAAGTCCAAAATCACACATACACATAAATTTCTCGCTGCAACTATGTTAAATGTCAGGTTTATATTCAAAACCCTCTCGAGGGACATGGTATACATACTAGAGCCAAGACGAGGTGAACATTGGTTTATCTAGGTTTTAAGCGAATTTGTTCGATATGACATAATTTAGGAGTAAACTTATATTTTTGTATATATTGAAATACCTTTGAATTGTGTTTTTAATATTCTGGTTGAAATATTTGCATATGTTTATATCTAGGACCTGATCTTTACTTATCTTTTAACTATATTTGTTTAGATATTAGCAAACGTGCTTGTGTAGTTTTCACCCCCCTTCTCTCATTCTGACACGATTTATTGACGCCACAATCAAAATGCTAATTAATATATTAACTATTATTTGTTTAGATTCACAAATTGAGTTACAGGTGTTTTAATTCCAATGCACGTTGGTTGAAGAGGCACTATCCTCTCAACTGATAGAATTGAGAAGGCAATTGCTGTCTACACCGGCTGCATCTATTATTGTTATTTTGAAATATATATAGCGAGTGCAAGAAGCAATTTTCAATTGTTGCTCGATTTCACTTGTTTTCTTGGGGAAGGGGATAATTTTCAAGTGTTTCATGTTTTTCGACATACCAATCATTTTGCAGACTTGGCCAAAACGGTGTCAATGGGCAATGCAATGCATTGAGATTTTAGAGAGTGGAGACCCTTCTTCAAACCTCATCCAAGCTCTACTAACAAATGCTTTACGCACTTTGTTTTAAGACCCTTCTTCAGATCTCCCGCCAACTCTGCTTACCAATGTTTTTTAGGCACTATGTATTAGTATAGCTTTCTGTATGTTTTCTTTTAAACCTTTTCGCTCTTGTTTATGGCAACATATAAAAAACTATGTGTTAGCCAACTTTTAATCTGTTGGTCTTTTGTTTTTAATATTTTTTTTTAATTTAATCCTCTATATTTTTTCAACGTGTTACAGTCAAATACTTATGCCGATTTTTCTTTAATTAAAACTCCCTAAATTTTATTTTATTTTTCTTAAAATATGAACTAAACCAATTAAACTATTTTAAACACCATTTCACCCATGTAACAAAAAAAAAAAACACTATTCCACTCAAAACTAACAAATTAAAATATAATATGTCATCTACAATTGGATAATCCCAAATTTTAATTGCTCCCTAAACTTTTACGTCGTACAAAATTTAGATTTCATCAAATTTCTAACTTTTAAACTTTTCAAATAATTTCATGTACCAAATTTACCCTAAATTCTCAATTATTTGTGTAAAAACATGTTTAGAGATTGTATGCGGAAGAAATTGTATTTTAAATTTAAATTTTAATACTTTTGTATGGTCAATGTAAATATTTGTATACTACAGAATACAAATTAACTGGTACAAGTGTGTTCCTAATACTTGTGGTCTATATATAAAAAAATGTAAATATTTTTACAACAACTAATTAAAAATAAAAATTACTCTAAATAACTTTTAAATCAATTATTACAAATCTTCCTATGTAAGAGACAATCAGTGATTAAAAATCTTTATAGTATTAATATATTATAATTAAACTTTAAATTTAAATAAAAAAATTGTTGGAGAACCAAAGTCATAGGTCAATCTTGATAGTACGACTACAAATATAATTAAGCCGCTATTTAATTTTCCTCATTTGTAGTAAAAATGCGTTTCCGTTGAGTTGTCAAAAATAAATGTTAGAAACATGAAAACTGTGTAGTTAGAGCTCAACGTCGTGTATCACCTCTCTCCGAGTTAGATTGTGTAACTCTTTCATTTGATCTTTTCAACTTAAGGCACTTAAAATTTAAAATTTGTTACAATGAGGGGAAGATAAGAAAATTGTGAATGAAGTTAACTGCAAAGAAATAAAATTAGACAATTACAGGAGTGATATTAGAAAATCCCATGTTTTTGGTGGTTAAACGGTTATTTAGGATAAACAAATACTTTTCAGTATTGAAAAATAATAAAAGAAATAAAGAATAAAAAAATCAGCGTTCAGTATGATGTGAAATTCATATCGTAGTAGCTCACAACAAATGGAAAGAAAAAACGGTGTCTAGATCATAAAAAAAATCTCTAGCACATAACGAAACTCCTATTTTAGAAGTGTTCTTGTCAAATGTTCTCTAGCTGTAGCCCAGGCTTGAGTTAGAGTCTGAAATATCAGAAATTTATAATCAGATTGAAGACCACCAAAGCAATATGCTGATCTTATCCAAAAATTTGTTCATCAAACATCAGAATTGAGTATTTCAGTTTTCACAACAAAATTAACCTTAAGAAAGAAGTGTTAAATAATAAGTATAACATTATAAAATGTGTCTCTGTAATGTAAGATCAAACAGTAAGCATGCATTAATGAAAGAAACAATATAATTAGAGTGTTGCATTACCTGCTCAGACAGGGGGGAGTCAGCATCCATGCTATGGGAAGTCACTTTTTCAGCAATAAGTGGTCCATTTGTTTCAAGTATCATCCTTCAAGGGAGGAAATATTCAGAAAATAAATCAAATTTTATGCAATGCTAATAACAAACTGTGACCAGTAACAAATGCATACCCTCCATCAACAATCTCATCGAGGCATAAAAGAATGAGATCCAAGTTTTCAAGGGCCTCTCTTTTGTCAACATTGTTCCTGTAAATGGCACAAAATATAATATACAAGACAGAAGCATGATGAGTAAAAGTGCATCTAGATTTAAAATCTATAAGCAATATACGACCTAAAATATATACCTCAAGAGAAGCGTGACTGCATCAAAGAAACCCTGAAGAACTGAAGCTAAAACGATCTCATTTTCATCATCGCCGCCAGTTACAAAGAAATGCAGATCTTGTACAAATTTGTAAATAATGATATTGTTCTCGAGTAATGTGATCTCAGCTGTAGATAATGCGAAACAATATACTAGTTACGAAAGAAACAGGATAAACATGCCTATATATATGATATTGACCAAAACTTCCACTTAGTAAATGCCAATAAAATTCTCCAACTGAAGAGTTTGGGATAAACCTTTTAAAGACACATTGGGAAGAAAAACCAATATTATATATATCTCAAATTTCACTCTGACAAATTGATCAGTCCTACAATTTTGACAAGCATTTATTTAATTCATTGATAACAATAAATACCAGTACATTTGACAAAAAGAAAATACTGATGTTGGATGCGTGTTGATTGACCAAAAAGGAAAAAGAGGAAAAATCATGTCATTAGAAATGTTACCATCACATGTTGGAACTAAATTGCGGACTAACGGTACCTTCTGTGAGTCTAATCAACCTCTCAACCTAATTGTTAATTAAGTAATGTAATATATACCAAAGGGACCAACCACTACATATTTGATAGAATTGTTGTGCTTCATGAAAAAACATTCAAACACAAAGGGTAACTAAATAATGATTACTTGAAACTGAAATGTCAGGCATCATCAGATCGGATTAAGAACTTAAGCACGAAGTAAGCCTTGCTGCCGTTTTAAAATATTTCATAAGAATTTCCTATATTGACGAAAGGCTTCAACTGATTTGATGCTCTATATATTTTTTATTCATTATTTCTTTATTGTGGGTTCCAGGTAAGAAACATTTCAATTTTGTCCACTATATAAAAAAGAAGCCAAAAAGCTCTAGTTGATTATGGCGAGCTCCAAGATTACTTATAGCCTCACCAAGCATAAGAAATCACTTTTGAAACTGAAACTAAAAAGGACTTATCGAGTATATATGCTTAATATATTATAGTAGTAGTATACAAGCAAGAACAGACTTTAAAGACTTATATTGCATAACATTAAAACCTACAAAAAATTTACCTATCCATTCATCAAGAATCATGTCAGACAGGCATAGCCAACGCTAGGAAATACTTGTATGGTAGCACCCTAAATAAAATTCAGACTTGCTATTGTGGTGAGTGCCTGTCAAGCTATGATGCTTACCTTCTGTTCGAGCATTTGTCTTAACAGTCTTACTGAACACAAACTTCTCAAAGGCTACCTTTGAACTGTTGGTTGGCCAGTCATCTGAAAAATACTTGACTGCCACACGCTTTCCATCGGAGTCTAAAAGAAGAATATTCTTTATCGACGGACATGAGCTCTACATAAGAAATGTACCAGCAAGTCATGAAAGAAGTACCACTACCATATGATACATGCAGCCTATACTGTACACAAATATCATCATGTGTACAATATATACTGTCAATCTTAATATAATTTAGATTTTGTTATTTTACCATGTCATTCTATTCATTAAGGAATGCAGCACATTTTCTTCAGTTTGATTATCGTTCTCATTCGGATAATAAATTTTATAATACACTAACCACTATTATCTGATACTATTTCTCAACAAGTTGCGATAACCGCGTGGTTATGGCATCAGACGTTGCAAAAACCATAAAAAACACGTCGAATGCAAGGAATCATAATGTATACACAAAGCACTCTTAAACCAGGAGAATCAAATTAAGAGTTGCGGTATTCAATTGTGACTAAACAAGAGAAAAATGAATCTCTTCCGTTTGTGATCAATTCTCTCAGTGCTATTTCCACAAACACATATATAGAATTATCAATTGATGTTGGTAAAGTTAAAGAGCAAATACTGAGAATAGAATGTCATGAACGGATCTGAAACGGAAATAAGCATAATAAAATATCGGATTTGCAGATATATCATTGTTCAAATTCCAAATCGATCCATATAACTACCGACGAAGAAAAAAAAAAAGAGAGAAGATATAATGCATATTGATTCACGGATCAATGAGAATAAATAACGTGAAAGAGTTGAAACTATTAAGAAGCAGATGCATCAATAATTTTCAGGTATTGCATTTTGATTGTGATTTGTGTGCAGTGAAGAGCAGAATGAGAAATATGGCAAGAAAATTGTCGGAAGATGAATGCAGAGAGAGAGAGAGACTTACATAGGACGCCATTTCGGAGAAACAGAATTAGTTAGAGTGCGGGACTGTGTGTGTTAATATTTATAGCAATATGATTGAGATTTTTTATTTTATTTGGGTGAGAGTTTAATAGCATAATAGTCTACTTTTCACCTCAAAGTGTGTTCAAACCATCTAAACCAACGCTGAAAACTTCAAGTCAAAATGTTTTTCTTTTTAAAACAATTAAATTGATCAAATTTTCTTACTTACATTTACATATAACTTGAAATTCTACTTCCCTCCCCTTTGTTTAGTAGAAAAATTATAAAAAGAAAAAATTAAATAATTTTTTTCACAAGTTAAATTTATTTACATAAAAGTTTGAAAAATTAATATGAAAAGAATTTTACTAGTTTTTTTTAATGAAAAAACTTATTTCAATTTTTTTTGTTTTCTTTATTATAGATATTTTTAGAAAAAAAATTGTTCAAATAGAGCAGTTGTCTCGCAAACAAAATCTTTTGGCACCAATGAGTCATGACTACTTGAATTGTATTGTGTAGCTAAAGTTTAATATCGCATCCATAGCATAGAGTAATTATCTTGTGGTTGGAGGGGTGTCTATTGACCGGCCTAACCCAGTTGGCCCAGTTTGTTCTCAGACAAACTAATTCATAATAGGTTCAGTTTTGGGCTGATGATATATAGACCTCCATTTTTTTATACATACATTTCCTTTTTAAAAAAAAATATTAAATTCCTAAATTATCCTTAATATTATTTGAAATAAAAAAATTTATTCTGAAATTTTTTTTTTTCCGGAGGTATATTTGTATATAATTATGGAAAGTTCTTTCCGGAATACTAAAATTACTATTCCGGAAATAACTTTCCGTTGGAATAATTCTGGAAAGTACTTTCCGTAACACTAAAATTATTATTGCAGAAAGTTCTTTCCGGAATTATGGTAAAAAATACACACACTGTTAATATTCCGGAAAGAATTTTTCGCAATAGTAATTATAGTGTTATGGAAAGTATTTTCCATAATTATTTTGACGGAAAGTTATTTCCGGAATAGTAATTTTAGTATTCTGGAAAGTACTTTCCGTAATTATTCTGACGGAAAGTTCTTTTCGGAAGGCTCATGATATATACACCTCCTTTTTTTTATAAGTACACCTTCTTTATTTTTTTAAAAAAATTATAAAAAATTATATATATATTTTTTAATTTTATACCTTTAACTTTCAATTTTCTACTTTTTTTCTTTTTTTTCACACTTTTTTTTTTCTCTTTCAATTTTTACATGCTACCAAAATAGGTGGGGTGAAAGAAAGATAACGGGGTGCATGTAAAAATTGAAAAAAGAAAAAATGGAAAAAAAAAAAAAGATCTGTAAAAAAAAAAGTACTAAATTAAATGTTGTGAATGTAAAATTAAAAAAAAAGCAAAAAATTTAAAATATTTTAAAATTTTTATTATTTATTTTTTGAAAAAGAGGTGTACTTATAGGAAAAAAGAGGTATATATATCATCAACCTTTGAAAAATACTTTCCAGAATAAATTTTTTTTATTCTAAATAATATTAAGGATAATTTAAGAATTTAATTAATATTTTTTTATAAAAAAGGGGTATATGTATAAAAAAAATGGAAGTGTATATATCATCAACCTCAGTTTTGTTTTGGTAAAAGAAATGGCCAAGGGAGATTAGGCCCAATAGAATAACATTAAGAGTAAGAACTCTTAAAAACAACATTTATTTTATTTTGTAAAAAAGATAATTAAAATTATTATATCAAAATCAATTTAGATAAACTTAAAAAAATAATAGTAATGTTATTAAGTATATAATATTTTTGAGCTTGCAAAGTTGACCCGCTGTATGTAGTATTGTAGTATGAAGATTGAGATAAACTAGCTATTAAAACGCAGTAAATCATTGGTGGGTGCTGTGGAAGAGATTATTTTATTACATGATTTCTAATCATGACCTATCTTTAATTGTTATTTTTTTTTTTTATGTAAACTAAATTTTAAATACATATCATGCGCGCAAACCCGTGGCTGAGTGGCTCGAGGACCAACAAATGATATGGACCGGATCTTGTATACAACTATACATGATACTTCGATTTTTGCGACCTGCTTGCTGATAATTAATATATATGCTACTCCACACCGTTGCACATAGTATTTTCTATTTTTTCCATTTTGTCCAGTTGGATAAGGGATTAAGCATGTAGACAGAAATAATTTTGTTTTAACAAAAATCACTAATAGTCAAAATTCAAGAAGAGATAAATTCATGTAGTAAATGCCTGTCAAAATTGCAGCGGTTCCATGAGAGTTAATGCATGATGTTGGAAGATAATTAAGGTTGTGCTATTTAGTAGCAATTTTCATTGTAGTCACAACTATAACTAAATACTAAAACCCTTTGAATAATGAATAATGTAGGAGGTTACAATAAATATGAAGGTGAGAGACAGAGATGATAGAAGATGATTGATCAATGATTATACATGAAGTATGTTGAATGGGTATGAACTAATGAACAAGATATATGACATTCAGGGACTGTAAAGAGAAGGACCACACTTGCATTTCCAACTCTCGGGCTCGTAATTTGCATATTGAACTCTCAAATGAGTGCGTCTTCTGCTGGTGCTAGGCACTTGAATGGCTTCACATGGAGTGCAACCATAGCACTTGTGCTCACAACTTGGTGGACTTGACCCTATCTTGCTCACTCCTCTATATGCGCCTTCTTCCATAAGTACATCTGTCATAACCAAACCCTTTACAAAAGAAAAAACAAACACTTCACTTGGTTAGCATAGCTAAACATTTGTATAATTGGAGAAGGAAGACAAACACCTTTTCCGACTCTTCAGTATTATAAGGTGGTGAAGACACTGATCCTGGTGCCTCTTTGAGGCCTGATGGAACATAGACAACATGGGACCCAATTAATAAAATGGTTAATTAATGCCAAAGAACAATGATGTATGCGTTTGAAAAATATATATTTAATTGGCATAAAAGTTGAAGCAAAAGTCATATGAATATGATGAACACGTAATTATAACTAACCTGGATGAGACATTGTCATGACATCAATTGGAGGAAAGGGCCTCTTTGCCAGTACACACACCCAACTCACTATTGGTAGAGCTAGCAGAAAACAAAAGAATCTCGCTTTCATTTTTTTTTTTCTTTTTTCAAAATATAGCAAATGATGAATGTGAATGTTCTTTCTTTCTCCCTTCACAACAAGAGGCATGACATGATGATTGCTGAATTATGGAATATAAGAAGGGGGAGAAAGGGTAGAAAATTAAAGAGCTTGCAATTCCCAAAAAGAAGGGGAGAATAAGATCCAAGTGATTTTGCTTGAGAAGCTAGCAAGTGATTTTGCTTCGCTCCAGAAAGTAGGAACACAACTCCTAAGAGACTAGTCTATGTTTGCACTCTCTTTCAGCCTCTAACTTTGGATTGCTTACCTTTCAATACAAGCTAGCCAAAGTTTTATATCTTTTCTTTTTTCTCATCTCTCTCAAATCTCTAAATCAAATCAATCTAAAAGTAAAGCAATATATACGGTGATCCACAAGTGCAGAATAACAGCACCCATTTTGGGTCTGAAACATCTGCATGAGCCTCGTAACTTTTCTGACATTTCAGATTAAAATAATGAATATGAAACCTAGACTGCAGAGCTCTTGTCTTTTAGTGATGCTATAATTTCATTGCCATATACGGAAGAAAGAAATCAATGACAGCGTGCGGGAAGAGAAAAAAAAAAAAAAAAAAAGTCTGCACTGTGCACCAATTAAAAGATTATATTTATGGAATTAGATAAATTGATGTATTAATTAATTAATGTGGTAGGGTCAACTTTCTTCGAGTTGGTTATTGGGTAACAGACAAATCTCTCCATCAATATTCAAAATCTGGACCATTCCTTTATATGTCATTAAATTTGTACATCCTTCGCTGCATTCTAATTACTCCGGCATTTACTATGCTCTAAGTCATAAAGTGTTTTTGAGGCTGGGAGAACTCGATTTTATTTAACTTAAGACTAATTTTATATTTTGTCTGGTTAATTTCGTAGATTTGTATTTGATCCAAACTAATGGGGTCCTGGAGAATTAGACTCCATCTCTTTTAACAAAAATTTTATATTTAAAAAATGTGATTGAAAAAATAAATCTCATAAAAATTGTTTGATCAGATTTTTAGAAGAAAAGCTAATTAATAAAGTTAATGAAAACTTCAAATTAATAATATGATTATTAAAAAGTTGTAAATTATATATATATATATATATATATATATATATATAAAAATATATTATGGTTAAACATGGTTGTGAATTTATTTACAGGTTAAACTTCTAATGAGAGTTCATCACAAAAATTTGACCTCCCTTATTGGTTATTGTAATGAAGGAACCAATAAGGGTCTCATATATGAGTACATGGCTAATGGAAACTTACAAGAACATCTTTCTGGTTAGTTTCCCATATAAAATTAATTTATTGTTAAATAAATTTCCAAACGAGTTTTGTATTTCCCAACCGCCTTATTTGACAATTGTATTAGTCAACAAAAAACAACACTTACAAAAAGTTATATAACTTGATTCTGCAGGTAAACGCAGCAAAACAAAATTTTTCAGCTGGGAAGACAGACTTCGTATTGCAGTGGATGCAGCCTCAGGTCAGAAAGTACATTTATTACCGTCTTTTATTAACTCCTCCTTTCCTCTCTCAATATATTTTTGGCCTCAGGATTGGAGTACCTGCAAAATGGTTGCAAGCCTCCTATATTCCACAGGGACATAAAATCTACAAACATCTTGTTGAATGAACACTTTCAAGCAAAGTTATCTGATTTTGGTCTATCCAAAATTATCCCATCTGAATGGGGAACTCATGTGTCAACTGTTATTGCCGGTACTCCGGGTTATCTCGACCCTGAGTGAGTACTTCAATTATATTGTCCTATTCCTATCCATCATTTTGATGTAAAATATAGTAAATCTATGTGGATGTTTATATCCACAAATTCTGACAAAATAAATTGAGTTATATTCTTTGTCTTGCAGGTACTACACAACCAATAGATTAACAGAGAAGAGTGATGTTTATAGCTTCGGTGTTGTTCTTTTGGAGATAATCACAAGTAAACCAGTGATAACAAAAAATCAAGAAAAAACTCATATAAGTGAATGGGTTAAATCCTTGGTTGCGAAAGGTGATATCAAGGCCATTGTTGACTCAAGGTTAGATGGAGAGTTTGATAGTAACTCAGTCTGGAAAGTAGTAGAAATAGCAATGGCCTCTGTGTCTCCAAATCCCAACAACAGGCCAATCATAAGTGAGATAGTCACCGAACTGAAGGAGTCTTTAGCAATGGAATTAGGTCGGACTAAATACAGCAGTGCCGATACTAGAGATTCAATTAAACCTGTCACCGTGAATCTGAATACTGAATTTATTCCCCAGGCTAGGTAAACATTGCCCAAGATAAGATGACTATACTCAAGAGTGGTTTTCCTCTTGCAATGCCAGAATGAGATCAAGCCACACAAGTGAAAGTGACACCACACTAGTTGTGAATAGACCCTTTAATTTGCATGTTGTTTTGAGTGATACTTGTTTAAGTGTTATAAATGTCCTCCATGTGACTGTTTTTAGGATTGGTGATTAAAATGGAGTGTGCAAATAGAAGAAAAATAAATAGTTAGGAATGAATTTCGATGTAGAATTATTTATTATTGGTGTTTTTACTTTGCGTTCATATTTGAATGAATGTAACTTCATATTTTAAAAATATATATTGTTTGTAAAAGGACTTGCTTCTTAAAAGATTTTAATCAAGAGACAAGTGAAATATCATATACTCATGAGGCAATATCTACATTTTATATATAGATTAGCCCCTCCTGAATCAAATATGGACTCACAGCATAGGTCTAAATTCTCCAACTTCAAACCTACTAATTGGTGGTCTACAACGCTTTCCATATATAATCTCAAATGATGCCTCCAAAATAAATACTACATTGATAATTCTTTTTATAAGCAAAATTCGTATTGTCCTTTCAGACCTCTGAGGCTTTTCTAGCTTTTCTTTTTGCATGTTTCTTTCAATTTCTTGAACTATAGTTTTGACCTGTAGGTGCAGGTCATACTTGTAGGAAATAAAGAAACTATTAATGAAATTCGTAATCAAATTCAAAATTGAGTTATTGAAAATATTTAGAGATTGATCATATCTTTTTGCTAAATTTTCTCTATATACAAGAATTAAAATTTAAACATCTAACCATTTTATAACAAAGTTTTTTTTTTCTTTACTTATACTCAACTCATAACTTAAAACTTAAAAACATGTTCAAAAAGACATACATGAATTGAGGCAGATCTACAAAGATTTATGTTCAATTCTTAATGTTTCTCAATGTAAAATCTACAATCTAAACATACACTAAGCATTCAAAGATATAATATGTGATCTTTCATGAAAATTTGTTTACTTTTTAATTTTTTTATTTACAAAATTGTCATATTATTTATAATTTATTTTTAAGATTTTTACAAAAAAATTGTCAAAGTTTTTTTTACAAAATAAAATAAAATCACAATTTCTTATACAAGTATTTAAAAGTGAAAAAAAATTAAAAAAAATTAAAAAATTTGTAATTAAAACTACAACTAAAAATAAAAATAAAAACAAAAATAAACAAATTGTTCCCTCTTCCTTGGCAATGAAAATATTCATTCTCAAGTCTAACGTGGCTCTTCTGACAGACTACAATCAACTCCCACAGAATTTAGACACCAACACAAATAATAAGTTACTTTTAAAATACTCACAAAAATCATTAGAAACATTCACATTTTTCTACAATAACTAAATATATCAGGGTACCTTGCTTAACTTATAATTGATTTTGTTTTTTTGTGATTATACATTAGAATAGGTTAGGATATATATACAGGTCCAACATGTTTTATAAAATTAAAGTATAAATTTAATTTATTATTTATTATAAATTTGATACATTAATTTATTTAAAAATTTATTTTATGTTAATAATATTAAATAAATCAATAAATTTAATTTATTAATTTATTTAAAAATTAATTTTTTATTAATAATATTAAATAAATCAATACATTTAATTTTAAATAAATTAATAATTACATTTTTAAATACATGTATGAATCCTTTTTTAATTTATATGATAAAAAATAATTTTTTATTATTATTAAAATTTAAAATAAAAATAAAATATTAACTTTAAGAGAGACAATTAATGTATGTTCATGTACATTAATGTACACTCTCACACAAGTTGTAATAAAAGAAGATGGTTTTATTAAAAAAAATTAAAATTTTTATTTATATTTCATTTGAAGTATTTTAAATAATCAACCATGAATATAAAAGAAGAAAACAGACAAAAATGCTACTAGAGTTTTTTTTTTGATTTTGTTTTAAAAAGGAATGTAAAATATTTAAATATATATAATTGGTTGTCAATATAAAAAAACTTTACACTCGCAGTGTATAGATGATTAACTCTAATATTTTTCAGATTCTCTAAACAAATTTGAGTGTATGGATTAAAACAAGAAATTTTAAATTATTGAGACTAAAAATAATTATTTTAAATTTGAGAGATTAAAAATAAATTTACTTTAAATTTGATGGACTAAAAGCATATTTAAAAAGAAAAAATGATACTTAACTTTGTTTCTTACGGTAAACTATGGGGTAAGAGGAAGAAAAAAAAAAACAACTCATTAATTGCCTTGGCAAGTTGAAATATCCCATATTTTTTGTCTTGTTTTAAAAGCCAAAGCTCATACATATATACATTAATGTTCAATCATGGATAGGTGTAATAAAAAAAGATAATTTTATCAAAAAAGGAATTTTATAAATATTTTTATATACCATTTGAAATATTCTTAATAAGCAACCATGAAGATGAGAGAAAAAAAATAGGTGAAGATGTAACTATTAAATTTTCTATTTTCTATTTTCTGATTTTGTATGAATAGAGAATGTGAAACGTTTAATTAAATATAGTGAAAAATGTCAAAAATATTAATAATTTAATTTTTTTATATTATAAATTTTTTTATTTAATTATATTATTAATAATATTATATGTATATTATCTTTTATAATATCATACACATAAATATGATGACTTATCATGTCTAATAAACATTTTTATAAATATAAATTTAGCTTTTTTAAATAAATAAATATTTCTAAAAAAATCTTAAACTTAATTTTTATTAAATAAAATAAGTCATAAACTCTAATTAAAATCTAATCTATATATTCATTATAATATTTTTTACAACACAATTTTATAATAAAATAAGTCATAAACTCTTTTATATATTCATCCATTATATTGATGTAATAAAAATACACGCAAATCACTGTTATCCACTTGGTAAAGCAAGAATGTTTAAGTTTTATAATATTTTTTACAACACAATTTTTTAATCCTCTCCAAGTCTCTATCCAACCATCATCATTTCATGTCCATGTTTATTCTCTCTTTTTTTCTTCTGTTTATTATAAAAATGTATGTTACAAATACAAATTATCACCTTTTAGGAGTTTTTTTATTATAAACTTTACCCCATTTTATGGCAAAGCTGAAGGCAGCACAGGTTAGTCTTGGCTGCTATTTCTTAACTTGTGACATCAATTGCCACAGACCTATCATTTGTGCATTGCGTGTAATGTAATTACACGCAGGGGTCACTCATTGATGTTACCTCTGACCACTTTTGTTTACTAAGAGCCATATTTTAGGTTCATCTTTGTTACAATCACAAGTTAATATTCCATCTAGCATGCATGCGTCACTATGATAACCAGTTGTAAAATGCAAGAGGCATTTAGGTCAATTTGCTGCTTAAAACAAACCATGAATCAATTGGTGCAAGATGTTTTAGTTTTTTGCATTGGAATTTTAGATATACAATTATGTGTTTAATACTTAAACAGGATAATAGTTCTATCAATTTAAACAAAAAATTTTTTATCATTGATTATAATTTTACCTAATTTAGATAAAAAAAATATAAAAAAATTCAATAATATAAATGAAAAAGATGGAACAATTAAATAACCTTGGAATTAAAACTCAGAACCAATGAGACCTGCTTATTGTGGACCTCTATAAATGTAACAACCTGAGACGACTCTCAGCCACGGCCAGAGTGCTTCATTTGGTGACATTCATAGAACCACCAGTGTATCCTCTGTGCTGTCATACTACTTCTCACTATAAACACAACACATCAGAGCAAGTTCTACTTTTACTAAAGTATTGTACATTTTTTTCAAGAATTAAAAGAAAACTAAAGAATCAACATTCAAGTGAACAGAGTAATAATCAAAATTAAAATGACAAAACATTTTTGATGTGTTGTTATTATTTCACATGTCATTCATGACTTCCAGATTCCTTCACTTTCGGCCTCAATCTTCTCTTTGCCCAGCTACATTCGTTGGAAGTCTTGATTTCACCATCTCAAGTTTTTTCCTCTGTCTCTTCACGCTCGAGGACTATAAAGGTAAATCTAAACTCTCACTTTTGTCTTTGATTATATAGGAAGGTAATAAAACTACTTTTTTTTTTGTCTGTTCAAATTCATCTATAAAAAATGTCTAATTATCTTAAATAATTAGAGGCATTTTTTTATTAAATAGTTACCTTTTTTCTTTTAAAAAAACACATAAGTTGTCCTCTAATTTTCAAGAAAAATTATAAGAATCTTTCGAAAAAGATAATTGGGTCAAATTTCATAATAAATTTTGTTATAGCCAAATTTATCTCTCAGTCATTTTTACTTAAATTTACTTTCATGGCGTGGATCAATTTTGGCTTAAATATATTTTTAGTCCCTCAAATTTAAAACAAATTTATTTTTAATCCCTCAAATTTAAAATTGTTATTTTTAGTCCTTGGAATCTTTAAAAATTTTATTTTAATCCCTTAGATCACCAATAACATATTTGAAAGTGACTAATTAAAAAAATTATACAATATCAACTGAATTTAATGTAATATTTTCAATAATAGGGACACCGATAGGTAGATTTTATACAATAATATTTTATAAATTTTTTAACAAAATTTGAATATAAAAACTAAAATAAGATTTTTTAAAATTATACGGGCTAAAAACAATAATTTTAAATTTGAGGGATCAAAAACAAATTTACCTTAAAATTGAGGGACTAAAAATATATTTAAATCATTTTAAAAATATCAAGAAAACAATTATAATTTTAAGAAATTTCAAATAGACTAGTTAATGGATTTAGTACAAGGCCTGAAAAGTTATAATAGGGGCCTTCCTGCGCCTTCTCAACATTTGAGGAGCCCAAAAATGATATGGAAACGTGGACTAATATACTAATTATGTTTTGGAATATTTTTATTAGTATATTTCAAAGGATTAAATATGTTATGAATTAAATGTTTTTAGTCGGTTAAGTTATTTTAATTTTTTAAGTTTAAAATTATTTTTTAGTTTTTAATTTTATTTTAGTCTTTATATTTTAATTTTTTTAGAATTTTTCTTTTGAAATATTGTTGTATAAAATCTAAAATAAGATTGGTGACCTAAAAAATTAAAATAAATTTTTTAAAAATTACAAAGATTAACAATAATAATTTTAAATTTGAAAGAAAAAAATAAATTTAGTAATTTCACACACAAACAATAGTTAGATATTGTTTGTTTTGCACCTAAGTCTTTATGATTTTATTTTTTATTATTTCTCAAAATATTTTTTAATTATTAGAATATGTATGTATTTTATATATATATATATATATATTTTTTTATCAATGTGAAACTTTGTTTATAAACAAAAACATATTTAAGTCATATGTTATTTAATATAATCCGGTAGACTTTAATTAATATTTTAAGGATATTGATTAGGTAATTAAAAGTAAAAATATTATTAAAGCATTTTATCTTGATTTTTAATTTTAATAAAAAATAGTTATCATTATTCCTTAACTAGTGTGTGTTAAATTGTGAAATTATTAAACTATTATTTTTTCATTAATAACTATAAATACTTCTTTTTTGGGTAAATATAAGTAAGTTATTTATCCTTAAAAGTGTATTTTCCACTTTAGAGAATTTAAATTCTAGGTATAAATAGTTTTATTAATACTGCCCTTAAAAGATTAGAATGAAACACTTTTACATAAAGGTATAATATTTAATATTTTCAATATATCTTATTGTAGTCTTGAATAAAAAAAAATCTATTTATTAATTATTTGATTATTATTTACTATGCATAACAAAATCATTTTTAACAGTGTTTTGTATTTGGTACGAAAACAATCGTGTGTAAAGAAGGGAAAAAAACTTTCTAAATTTTAGGGAGCAAATGTTAGTATCATACTAACTACTCCGTAACGCTTAATGAACTTAAAAAGTCATCTTGGTCCCTCTCCCTCTATTCCCTTGGACATTTCTTTGATTTTTTCAACAAACATGCACACATTTATCATAATACAACAACTTAATTTCTTATGACGACCCGTTCTTTTGTTTGAAATATGGTTGTAGCTTTGGACTGATTCATTATTTCACATCATAGTCACACTTTCTGCTTCCAAAATTGTTACAAAACCATGTGTTTGGTATATACACATATAAGGTACTTAATAAAACATACGTGTGAATATTTGAACCCATTCAAACCCCTCGTGGGTTCTGCAAGTCGCGGCGTCGTTTTTAATTTTTTTTTTACTAATAAAAATAACTGAATTTAATTTTATGGAACTAGAAAGTCACAACACTTTTTCTATTGATTAATTTTCAATTCAAACCGAACCAATTTATTGGCAACCAAATTCCAAAGGTCCACATTTTTCTATAACACATGTCTTTTGCGTATTTGCAGCTGCCTAATGCCTCTTCCAAACTTGTACAGTATAAAAGAGGTTGGGAAGTGCCATTTCAAATGCTAAACTCTGCTGCATACATGAAACTATAAAGAACCTGACATTTTACTACTACCAGGTGACTCGCCCTTCTAATTAAACTTTTCTTTTTGTTTATGCATATGTTTTGGTCATGGATGTTTATAACTATAAACTATCTCAAGCATTCTCAATTTTCAGTTTTCAAATGCTTAATATGATTCTTCTTTTTTTAAATATAAAACACAAATATTTTCCACCCGAGACAATTATGCTCGAATTAGTTGAATGCCATTAATGCTTTATTGGTGACTGATTTAGTCTTTGATATTCACTATTACATAGATTGAAGTAAAGCAAGACAAGATATATGTCTTTTCTTTTTAGAATTGTATGCTCATCATTTGACGTATATGTACATTAAGAGTGTCATTGCTAGTAATAAGTTATGAGAATACTGGAAAATGTAAAGCTCATTGTTCCTGATTTTTTGCTTAGGAATGGGAATATCTGCAAGAAGCAAGGAAGGAGAGGTCACAGTGAGCTTCAAGAACGACATAAATTTGAATGATTTCTATAAGCCTGATAAGTTAGTTGTTGCTGCTACCGAAGAATCGACTAGCTGGAAGAGAAGGAAGGTGGGAAATCTGAAGCTCCAAACCACATTCTCATTCAAATATATGGTTTCAAAGAATTGTGGTTCAAAGGAGGAAGATGAGGATTTGTTCAACAAACAAAACCCCAAAGTTATGTTACAAAAACCAGAACTAATGTTTTCTCCAACTTCCTCTGCCCAGCTTGATTTAGCAACAATAAAGCTTCAGAAAGTTTACAAGAGTTACAGGATTAGAAGAAATCTGGCTGATTGTGCAGTTGTTTGCGAGGAGCTATGGTTTGCTCAAAAGTCTATAGTTGTCCTTTTCTTTTCTCTTTTGAGCTTAAATATGCATTTGCTACTTAAAAATACTACTTTTTTGAGCTTCATAAAATTCATTTATTTTTGGTTCTTAAAAATTATAAAAATCATGTAACTTTAGTCCTTATAAAATATTAGAAGCACACCTTTTTGTTAACTATAGAAATTAACAGAAAAAACAATTGTTTAGAAAATGTATAATTATCAAAACAAATGGATATATTTAAGCATTTTTTTATGGCTATGAAAAGTTTATAAGCAATGAGAATTCAATGATAGTGCTCAGTGCACTTTCAATAACTAGTTTCTCAAGTTTTTTTCTCTGGTCCAGGTGGAAGGATTCAGTGATTACTGCTAACAGGTGCTTCATATCCCATTGTGACGATAAATCAGAAACAGCTATTTCTGATATATGGGCAAAGGCTAGGATGATGGCTGCTAAGGTATACTTGAATATTAGAAGCCATAAAATTTAATCCACTTTGACTGAGGAATATATTTTTATGTACTTTGCTTCAATATTTGGGTCCATATTAGTCTTCTTTGAACCATTTTCATTGTTGGAAAGATAATGTACTTAACATAAATTGACTAGGACCACATAGACGTATTCAAAGTTTACAATCTCTTTGCTAATAAAATTTCTTTTTGAATGCTAACCACTGTATTTTTTTTTTTTTTCCCTATTGTTAGGTGGGAAAAGGTTTGTCCAAAGATGATAAGGCACAGAAATTAGCACTAAGGCACTGGCTAGAAGCTGTAAGCTCAAACGTCACATCTTGACTTATGAGTTATAATTTCATTTTTCTTTTGTTTGGTCGTATGTGGTCTTAGAATCCATATATTTTGCAGATTGATCCCCGTCATCGTTATGGGCACAATCTTCATTTCTACTATGAAGTCTGGTTTCATAGCTTGAGTTACCAACCTTTTTTCTACTGGTATAAATTGTTAACTAGGGATTGCTATAGATGCTGAGAGAAATTTTGATCCCCATTTTCTAATTTCTTAATTTGTATCTTGGTGACATGAAGGTTGGATGTTGGAGATGGCAAAAAAGTAAATCTTAAAACATGTCCTAGAAGCCAATTGCAGATGCAATGCATAAAGTACCTTGGACCCGTAAGTTGTTTAACCACATAAGCATTAACAATTTCACGTATGATAATACTTGTACTAATTATGTAGTACAAGGTTTGCATCAATGACATGTCTTATGTGACATTGATACTAGTGCATTGAAGGCTTTATTTTATAATGACTTTATTTTATGCTTTATATTAAAAGTTTCAAAGTTTGCTTCAAATTTGCAGAAAGAGAGGGAAGCATATGAAGTGATTGTGGAGGGAGGCAGGCTTGTTTATAAACAGAGCCAGAAACTTGTACACACTACTGAAGAATCTAAGTGGATTTTTGTCCTTAGCTCATCTAGAATTTTGTACGTTGGACAAAAGAATAAAGGCCAATTTCAACACTCTAGTTTTCTAGCTGGTGGTGCTACCATTGCATCTGGAAGATTGGTTGCCCAAAATGGAGTTCTTCACGTATGCCAAATGTTTTATCACCATTGATAATTTATGTTATAATTTTGTTATTCTGTCACAAAATGCAAGAATCAAAAGAAAGAAATTGAAAAACATATATCTAATGAGAATATTTCTTATTTTAACAATATGAGAGCTATGAATATGGGTCTTATAGCTATACATATATGATTTAAATTAAAAGTTAGTTAGACTTGAAAAAGTTGTGTGCATCAGTGCATGTATCTTTTAACATTGACAATTCAACTATGATTTAATAGTCTTTATTTTCTTACATTGATCAAGAGCTCTTAGTTGACATTTCATTTCTTTTATAATTGAATTGATCTTCATTTACATACTATTCAGGCTATATGGCCCTATAGTGGCCACTACCGTCCAACAGAGAAGAATTTTATGGAATTCATTTGCTTCTTGGAGGAACACAAAGTGGATATGACAAATGTAAAGGTGAATCACTTTAAAAGAATATATACTTTTAAAAAGATTTTTCCAAATTGGCCTTCAATTTAAAATCACCAAGCATCAATTTGCTTAACATTTATTGAACTTCAGTAATTTCATGTTTGTCTGATGCAGAAGGATCCAATTGATGATGATGTCCCTCCTTCTAAACCTCTAAATGAAGAGCTGCCATTTGGGTACATAGAAGGTAATGTGGGTTCCAATGCCTCTACCACTGCCAATAATCATGGTAGAGAAAATTTGGGTGACATTGGTACCAATGTGGAAGGTTCAGTTGAAGAAAACAAGCCAATGTCAAACAAATGGGCAACTGGATTTGGTCCTAGGATTGCTTGTGTGAGAGAGTATGCAGACAAATTCCAAGTTCAAGCACTTGAACAACTCAATCTTTCACCAAGAGTCAACAATGCGACATTTGCAGGCAAAGCACCCATTCCCTCTCCAAGGCCTAGCACAAAACATTTGTCACCTAGGCTTGTCAACATGGGACTTCCTAGCCCAATGCCCTCTTTAGGGTTTATGGACATTCAAGTTCATGGGCACTGCTTTTTCGTTTTAGCATTTAAATTTGGACAGTTGGTACATAATACAAGATGATAAAGGCCACAAAGGAGCTAACCAAAAATTTGTTTTTTTCATTTGGGTTTTTATTGGCCAATTTTTTGGGTCAGATAGTTTCTGTTGAATTGATTATTTTCCCCTCCCCTTAAACGCTTAGTTGCTTATCCAATAGTGTTAAGAGGTCGGTTTGATCATCCATTTTTGTATAAGTCATATGACATTTGAAAGTACAGTTATTATTTTTTAACCTCTACTCCATTTGAGATGAGATGGACGTATTGAAAGCAAGTCGTGCTCTTTGTCTATAAAGTTAGATACTAACCTGTGATGTGCAAATTGGAATGTCTTCATCGGTATCATGGTGTACGCATGCAATAAATTCGATAAAGCTTTCTTTTTTAAGTGGAGATTTTGTTTATGTTGCCAAATAAAATAAAAAGCTCGGCATTATTTGTACTAGGGACATAAATGTTAAGGTTATTTTGTCCATTTTTTTTATGATGATATATTTTTATCAGAAAATTGTTAGAATTATTTTATTGGTTTGTTTGACGAAGATATATTTTTATCAAGGGAATAATTATATCTTTGTTATTAATTTGTTAGATATTGTTTAATTTGAGTTTATTCTCTAACGATTTTATATTTTATTATCATTCAAAAAGTCTCAACTAATGAAATATGTATGTATTTTATAAATTTTTATTTCTCCTCTTGTTTTAAAGACGTGAGACTTTATTTTGTATCGCAACAATCTTTCTTTCAAACAAATGACAATTTCTCATTCAATTAAATGTAGTTTTATATTGCATTTCTATTATTATTTGCATGTTATGAATTATGGATTTTTGGTTGTCATCGAATACAACTAACAATTCTAATATCATTGTTAAGGTTATGTTATGATATTGATATTTATGTTATTTGTTTTGTATCCCAACATTAAGTTGATCACATTATCATCAACATTTAAGAGTGGAAATTTTTTTCTATGCAATGGTCAAGTGATGTGAGATTTATTTAGGTTTTTGCTCGTTACTTTTCCTCTATTTCCAAGATTAAGAAAACAAAATTCATCATCACTAATGAAACTAAAGAATGATACTACATTCATAAATCATTTGTCAAATAACTCTTGTGATAAAATTAAACCTTTTATACTTGTATTTATCATGCAAGTGTAATGGTACTTTTATATTTAAAAAAATTTCCCTTCTTTTCCACATAACTAATTTTAATGACTTATTTGGAGTCATTAAAGCTGATTTTAGGAGTCAATATAATTATTTTTTTTCAAACTAATTTAAACATTTCTAAAAACATTCACAAAGAGTGTTAAAGAAAAATTTATCGTGTGAACATCAATGTTTGTCATGTTCTAACTGTTGGAGTGAGGTTCTTATTTAGACCAATTACTTATACAAATTGATACTTAATGTGCAAAATAGACCCTTTATTTTACTTATATAATTAAAATAAATAGAAGTTAACTCTAAAAGAAATAAATCAGAGAGCCAAGAATCAAAAGGTATACTTCGTAAATTATAGTTGTTGGCATTCAATTGAAAATAAAAAATTTAACACGTTAAATATTTACCACTTTGAGATGTATGATTGAGAATTTTTTTTTTTCACAATCAACCTTTTTAAATTTCTCTTATTTGTTCTCTGTTAGTTTTCTTTATCCTTCTTACACATTCTTTTGAAGTTTTATCTCATATTTTTTTTACTCACATTTTTCAAACTTTTCTTTTATTTATTTTCATCCGATGGATTCAAACCAAATAATATATAGTACATTTTTTTTTTATTTTTTATAATTTAGTTATTTTATAACTTAATTAATCTCCCCTCAAAAAAAAACTTAATTAATCAAATATTGATGAAATGTAAGAATGTGAAATTGTTGATGAGAGTCATTTAATAAATCTTTTAGAAATGCGGGGTTGAAAAAATAGAATACTCTAAATTATGAAATAAAAAATAATAAAAATAAATTATGTGTATGTGGGTTCATTAAATAACCTCAGATAGGGTGTATAGATTCTTGGGAGATATCTGCATGTGAGGCTTTGGGCTTTATGTTATTGGGCTTTACAGAAATGAGGGTATGAAGAGGATCCGCTGATGATAGCTACTGAAAGGGTCAAATCGGAGCGTCGGAAATAAAAAAGAAAAAAGATTGAGTTTTGATTTTGAGTATCTGGTTACCGTTAGGTTGACTTTTTGTTCACCCAACACAGAAATTCAAATTTCAAAACTTGTTTCTCTCTCAACCTTATTCCTTTCCTTAATTAACCCCAACACAAGAACACAAACCACGCTCCATAATACACAAACACAAAAAAGCCTAAATTCTCTCTCTTCCGCACTGCTTCACAGCACAAACAGTTTCTTTTCTCCAATGGGTGCTTCGGGAAAGTGGTTTAAGTCGCTTCTTCATTTTCGAAAGAACTCAACTGATCAAGTTAGTGAAGTAACTTTTTTTTTTTTTTTAATTATTTAATCTGTTTCGTTTTGGTTCTTTGCTGTTATTCACTGTTTACAAATGTGTAACCAGGAGAAGGGTGGTGAGAACAAGAGTAAGAAGAAGTGGAAGCTATGGAGGGCTTCTTCAGAAGGGTCCATGAAGAAAGTTGGTGCTGCTGCTGTACCTGATTCTTCCCTTACTTATGCAGTGGCTGTGATGGTTCCCAAAGATTTCAAGATCATCAAGC